GATTAAGATGGTTGTTGAGGGTCGCGAGAAGATATCCTTCATCACACCTTGTTATGGAGGTCCATGGACCAAGGGCCCAATCACTAGGGCCATCAAGAGAATGAATGAAGAATGGGCCAATAATCAAGAAAAGCCCATAGTTCTCTTTAGTTGGGTTATACACTAAAGCCCATGTAGAATAGGGTTAGCCCATTGGGCTTGTAATTCTTGTTTGTGGGCCTTGTATTTTGGCCAAGTAGCATAGGATTTTGGGCCTTGTAATTTTTGGCCATTTTAGAATTAGGTTTAGTTAAGCACATGTGCCACCTCATTTACATGTAATTTAGTTTGCATTTAGATGGAATTTGACCCATGTGACCGGCCAAGGGAGTGGCGCACATGGCATGACTCAAATGCCACTCAAATGCACACCAAATCACATGCACATGAGCCTAGCACATGGCTGGGCCCCAAAATTTGAATTTGAATTCAAATTTTGGTGCCTAAGGTTAACCTAAACCATACCATGGTTTATTTTAACCTTAGTTTAAGGCTAGCTTATCCAACACACTTTCTAGGCCTATATATTCCATATGGCCATGAACTTGTAATCACTTTTGGCTTGAATGAGAATTAATCTTGATATAGATTTTCCAATTCTCTCTCTGAAAGTCTCTAAGGAGATTTCTCTCCTCATAGCCTCCTTGAGCCTTCCTTTTAGGAGCCTTAGAAGTGTTCATCTTCTAAATCAAGAAGGTTAGCAAAAATTGGAAGCAACATTGCCTCTTCAAGCTTCGGATTCTCTCCTTGAGTCTCCTCAAGGAATTTGCAAGAAGAGGTTGAAGTGTATTCATTGAAATTCCAAGAAACTGGAACTCATCACCTTGGGGCACATTTTGCTATAGGGTTACACCATTTGGGTTAGAGAATGCCAAACCTACCTACCAGAGAGCCATGATGACTCTGTTCCATGATATGATCCATAAGGAGTTTTGAATTCTATGTGGATGACATGATCGTAAAGTCAAAAGGCGAGCATGCTCATCTTATCCATTTGAAAAATTGTTTAACCGTCTCTAGAAGTACCAACTAAAGTTGAACCCTGCCAAAAGTACTTTTGGAGTCCAATATAGAAAGCTCCTAAGGTTTATCATCAACAAGAAAGGAACAGGAGTAGATCCAGATAAAGTAAAAGCTATTGCAGAAATGCCTCCTCCTAAGAAAAAGAGGTTAGAGGTTTCCTTGGGAGAGTAAACTATGTTGCGAGGTTTATATCTTAATTGATGGATACTTGTGTGCCTATCTTCAAACTTCTCCAAAACAATCTAACAATGGAGTGGAATGAGGAATGCCAACAGGCTTTCGACAAAATCAAGTAGAGCTTAACTAATCCACTAGTGCTAGTACCTCTTGTCAACGGAAGACCTTTGATTCTATACATCACGATTCTAGAAGAGTCCATGGGATGTGTATTGGGTCATCAAAATTTGACGTCAAGAAAAACAACCTTTCTATTTGGTGATGGATGAAGAGACTCATGATCATCCATGGTATTTCGACGTCAAAAGATATGTAACACCCCATTTTTCAAAAATCTATTATTATTATTATATGATTTTTGGTTAATTTTTTTTATTATTATAGGGAAAAAATATTTTATATTATATTTAGTTATTTATTTATTTAACTATTTTGGAAAAGAAAAAAAAGTGGGTTGGGAAGAGAAGCGGGTTGGGTTAACTCGGCCCAGTGGATTATTTTAAGAAAGGGGTTATGTAGAGTTAACCCTATTTGCCTCATTTTTCATTCAAAAGGGTTAAGAGTAAAAGGAGAGGAGAGGAAAAACAAAGAGCTCTAAGGAGGAGTGCTTACGAACAATCTCCAATTGCATCAGAGTTATTTTGGAATAACGTAATAAGATATGGAGGAAGATGGGATTTCCATATGCGTAGTCACAAGGGGGAATGGGTAGAAGGAGAGTTCCCTAGGATTTTTAGTAACTGTATAATGATTTCCATTTGCATGTTTGATAATCACAACAATTTTTGTATGGATTTATATTAGTTTTTATAGTGTTAATTATTGTAATTGTTGTTCTGGATGAGGGATAGGATTAATTAAAATGTGCCTATAGGTTAAGGTTCATGAATGATTGGGATTTTATAAATTGAAGAATGCTTTTTATGAAATTAATGCAATATAATGTGTTTTCATGTAATAGTGATGATTTCTAACCGATTGGATTGTGAAAATGTTAGTTGTATATCAACTGGTGAATTATGAGATGTTCTGTTTGGGTTTCTGGAATTGTAGAAAATTACGTTAATGTCGAGCTTAATTCCTCGTGTCGGGCGTGTCTTCATGGAGATGAAGGTGGAACCCGGAAGGTTTGTCCCTGATGGAATCATGCCTAGAAAGGCAAGAGGTGATATCTTGAAGGAACCAAGAGGAATGAGCTAGACATGAAGATTTGGGCCAGTCAAGGCCCAATGGGCCCAATGGGCTTGGAAGGCCCAAGTTGAGCTTCACATGGACCATCCCTTGATAAATCCATTTTTCTTATATTTTTTACATATTATATTAGTATAGGTTTCACATATTTTGGTCTTGTATTTTAGAACACATAGATTAGCATTTTTGGGCCATAGGCTTATTGGGCCTGTTTTTGGGCTTTATGGGCCTTTAGGCTTTTGGTACCCAATATTGGACTCATTTTGTTTCTTTTATTATTTCCTAATGTTTGTATATGTTTGGCCATTGTATTTAGGCCATTAGCATAGGAATATTGAAGGAATACTAAAATAGACCAAGAAGCTAAAATCTAGGTTTCATTTAGTAGTCATTTGAGATGCATTTGGATCACATGTTTCTTGCCAAGCATGGCTGAACATGTGCAACTCCAAATACACTTTAAATGTCCCCTAAATGACATTTAGATGCATGGCAGCCCCATATTCACGGACTAAGCACATGGAGCCTTGAATTTGAATTCAAATTTCCATTTGAAATTTGAATTTTTGGCTCCAATATTGGCTAGTGAAGTTGGTGGCTAGTGAAGTTAGTGCCACCTAGCTTGCTTCTAGGATCTATAAATGCTTGTTCCTTCACTCTTTGTAAACACTTTGAGTCATAATAGAGATTTCTGAATTTTCATTCAGTCAAGTCTCTCTCAAAGTCTCTCTCAAAGGTTCATAGCCTTAGCCTTAGGAATCCTAAATTCTAGGCTTAGTCCGTGAGCTTTCATTTGAGTTTCTAGCTAGGATACTTCCATCTTAGCTTAGGAATTCTTTCATATTTGATCTCCATTCTACATTCAAGTCCAGAAATCATCATCAAGGAAGAAAGGCCCGTGAGCTTGGAGGAGGCAAGGGAAGATCAAGTTTCACTTCACCTACCTACTTCCATCTATTTTAGTATTCCTTCAATATTCCTATGCTAATGGCCCAAATACAATGGCCAAACATATACAAACATTAGGAAATAATAAAAGAAACAAAATGAGCCCAATATTGGGTACCAAAAGCCCAAAAACAGGCCCAATAAGCCTATGGCCCAAAAATGCTAATCTGTGTGGTCCAAAATACAAGACCAATATATGTGAAACCTATAATAATATAATATGTAAAAAATATAAGAAAATGGATTTATCAAGAGATGGCCCATGTGAAGCTCAACTTGGGCCTTCCAAGCCCATCGGGCCCATTGGGCCTTGACTAGCCCAAATCTTCATGTCTAGCCCATTCCTCTTGGTTCCTTCACAATATCACCTCTTGCCCTTCTAGGCATGATTCCATCATTCCCTCCCTCTTGAAAATGATTTGTCCTCAAATCACGAGGATCTTTATGATAGATATCATGATCTACAATAATAAAATACCATACATGAGAGGTAACATGTTCAATGGGTGGAAATGGAGAATATATCCTAAGAGTAATCACCCTAGAAATGAAATTTACACTAAAAACACTATACTTTCTAAAGGTAGAAATAGGATCCTTACCTAGGCAAAGTCTATGTGTGTAAATAAATCCTAAAAATATGATTAAACTAAGACTATAACAATTGAAAGAGTTATTCCTAAAAACTAAAACATCTTGCCTAAGGTACCCTAAATAGTGACCTAGGCATTTCCTAAACAATTTTGGAGCATATTATTTATTAGATATTGTACCGTCTCAGCCGATTCCCGATTTGGCCTACTGTACCGTCTCGGCCGATTCCCGATTTTGCCTAACTTCACAGTCGGATCGGGATCCGACCTCACTCTCTCCTGAACCAGATCGGCCCTGTTCCGATCCCTCCCGCCTTTAAGACCCTCTCGGCCAATACCCGACCACTCCCTCGGTATGGGTATGGTCGGTCGGAAACTGATCGAAGCTCCTCGCGTCAATCAAGCGTTATCCAAATAATAATGGTTAAGGAGATCCCCATATTCACGGGGCCCGTGAGGCCCATGAACGAGAAAGTATAAAACCTAAAACCCTAAAGCTAAGAAGGCAGATTACACCCTTTGAATGCTCTGGCTTTGAGGCTTGACCTAGGAAAAAACCCTAGTAGAACTTTTGGCCGGAACATTTTGGTGCCCACCGTGGGGCTACGGTAAAACAATTCCTACGCCCCAAATCATAGAGAAGAACTAGCACTCTACCATGGCGAGAGGTGGCAATAACAACAACAACTCACAACCCCCTACCATGGAGGAGATGATGGCCATGATCAATGGCTTAAGGGAGGAGAATGCGCGTTCCAGGGAGAGAGAGGAGGCCATTCAACGCGAGAACGAGGAGATCAGGAGGAGAGCAGATGAGATGCAGGCCAGAATAGAAGCCAGTACCAGGACGGTGGAGGAGGATGTCATGTTGGAATTCCCTAGGGACTTTCAGCCTTTCTCAGAAGCCATAGAGGCCGAGGCCATCCCCAGGGATCATCGGATACCCCAAGTCGAGCCTTTTGATGGAACCAGGACCCCAGTCAGCATTTGACAGATTTCCGAGCCCAAATGTTGATCTGTGGTGGAGACATGGAAGTTCGCTACAAACTTTTCATGGGAACACTCAAAAAGGCAGCACTTGATTGGTTTAGTGGTCTCCCTGACCGATCAATCACCGACTTTGACGTCTTCAGTAGACTCTTCATGGCACAATTCGCCGCCAACAAGAAGAAGCCACCGATTACATCGGACTTGTTCGATCTCAAGCAGCAGCGGGAGGAGTCGCTGAAGGACTTTATGCAAAGGTTCAATGAGGTCGCATTGAGGATAGCATCTTTGGACGAAAGGATGGCTGTCATCGCATTCGAAAAGGGCCTGAGGTCTGGAGCTTTCGACATTGCTCTGAAAAGAGCAAATTGCCAGACGATGTCGGAGGTGAGAGCCTTCGCACTGAGTCACATTAAGACGGAGGAAGGACAGATTAGCAAAAGAGCAGCGAAAAGCCGAGAAGCGGGGGGCAGAAATAAGGAGGGAAATAAGTATCTCCGACCACGATCAGACCGGAGCAAACGATGTGACCGATACAACTTGAAGGAGGGAAATTACAGGTAGTTCATCATGGTGGTCGGGAGAGGGGCGAGTGGACACGCAACAATGACGAAGAGAAGTTTACTCCACTCAATGTTCCCAGGCGACAGATACTTCACGATGTCAACAGCGCATCACTGTTTGAGTTTCCAGCGGCGACGGAACGTCAATTGGGACCCTTTAAAACTGATTGGTGTCAGTTCCATAGAGCTCATGGACACCACACTGAAAATTGTTTCGTCCTAGGGAGGCAGATCGAGCGTTTGATCAAGGAAGGGCTACTGAAAGAGTTTGCGGCAAGGAAACAGGAAGGAGGTTCATCGGATAGGCGACATAGGCGCGCACAAGATGATACCAGGAGGGATAGGTGTAGAGAGAGAACTCCTCCTAGAGACATGCCAATGAAGGTGTCAGAAACCCACCAGCAACCCATCCACGAGGACTTCAATACCATCGCAGGGGGCTTCGCCGGCGGGGGAGCTACCTTTGCTGCCCGAAAGAGGTATACTCGGTCGGTCCTGACAGCATCAGAATTCAGGCGACCATTACAGCCTGAAATTTCATTCTCAGACTCGGATTACGAAGGAGTAGCTCCTCACGAGGACGACCCCGTCGTCATATCGACAATTGTCATTGTCGCCACCCGCCGAAACGGACATTGGCATT